AATATTTCTGTATGATTTATTAAAAAATAAAATTACGCCTAAATAATGTATATACTTGTAAAATAATATTAATATACACAGGAAACAGGTTATTGAAATATCAATGAAACTAATTAATTATCCAAATTAGGAGTGCCATAATAAATATTTACGTTAACAGTTTCTGCTATAGAGAAATATTTATGAGCACACAATGTCATAACAATGTATTATGTAGGCGCATCAATTAAATATACGTTTCACGGCGTACTTGAAATTTATCCATCCATGAATCACGTTGAAACTGCCTGAAAATAAAAACAAATCATGATACATCAAAGCGAAGTTATGCTGACAATTCGGCTGCGCTCGACTTAATATATAGCAGGCGGTACGTTGTAATCTAAAAATAATTAGAGTCGACATTAGTTTTTATGCGTAAAAAAGACGTAGCGATACGATGGCGGGCTGGGACAAGCACGGAAATACACTGTGATATACTGCGCCCTCTATCCCAATACAATTGTTCACGGCTCTATTCAAAACATGGGATGATTTCATTTAACCAAGAAAAAAGTAGCAACACACCAAAATGAACAAACAGCAATATCTCGTGACGCTCGTGAGTTAAGAGTTAAAAGCGCAGATATTTTCAACACGATTTCAACTGCAACAGCAGACACAGAGAATTGCTAATTAACACCGAAATAAAAATTTGACAACCGAGTAATAACTTATCCGGGCCGAACAACCGTGGACATACGGAGTAAAAGGTACAATGAAAAGTGTAAAGGACCAACAAAAACGGGCCACGACTGTTGGCTCACTTCAGTTAAGTACCGTTGGCTTATTATTTGAAACAGCCTGTAATCTGCCACGCCCGCCGCCCGCCGAAATGAAAAATTACTCAGCTATTTTTAACACAAGTCTCAAGCACAGAAAACGTACAAAAATTAGAGGAATGAGACGGGGGAGCACTTGTACTGCACCATTGAGATCAAAATAAGCAGGAAATTACTGCGCCCCGAGCGTGCGGGCGTCTCTCTAAGGGAATTATTTTGTGTGCCAACGATACGCTCTGTTACCTTTTAAATAAACCAAATAAGGAATGCTTGTTAAAGAAATGTACCATTCAAATGACACTTGTATGTTTCGACGACGTTCATTAACGATTTCGTTTCAAATATCTATTTATAACGGAAATGTGGTATGCACGACACCATTTCTCCTAATGGGCACCTATTATAATTAGCGGATTCCATATCACGTCTCTCTTCCTCTTCTTTAGTCGTGAACTCTTGACATGTTGGTCGTGATGGTATCTCTTCGTTATCTTCCTTATCGACAAAGCTCTGTCATGTCTTGGGTATTATTTTTATATTTTACTAGTTGCCTGCCCCGGTTCCTCGCGAGAAAGATTAATCAAGTAACATAAATGAGATTTATTAGTAAGATATAATAGTTACAAAATTGTAAAAACCTCAACGTTAAACTATGACAGATTTTTTATTATTAACATTATTTAGGCCAAATTTTGCCTATTTTTCCCTTTCGTCAAGTGTAAAAATATACTTAACAATTATAAATACAACAAAAACAAAATTCGCCAAATCGATGCATCCATAATGAAGTTATCAGAAAATGAAATTTATTTTCGTATTGTTTATTTTTATCTCATCTATGTCATCCAATATATTTAATAGTTCAGCGTAAGGCACACCGGCGTCCATCCATCGTCCTTCTTTTAAACACAGTCCCATCCCGCACATCACGATTCGATATCATTTATATCGATTTAATTATTCGATTGTCCACACCTCCGAGTGAAGTCCGACAATAAATCGTAGTCGGCGGTTTCCTTCTATCAGACCGAAGGCAGCATGCGCGTAATCGTGCGTTTACTGTTAAATGGAGTGCGTGGTGATAAATCTATCAAGCTGTATTAATTGATTCCACGAGACGCGCTAATCATGTCTAGCTAGCGTTGGGACCTAGTAATTAATGTTTCTAATTACGCCCGTTGCAGCTAAGTACGCAGCTACTATCTGATCGGGCTGCTGACGTGCTTCAAATACTAATTGCATATATTTAGTATTGTCTAAAGTTTCTACTTTAACGTTATTTTATTGTACATTATTAAGTTTAATGAATTTGCAAAGGATAAAACTCAATTCTTAATAATAGCTATAATAAATCAGGACAATATCTACAGAGCTATGTAATCCCAAATTATGTAGAACTTTTGTTATGAGTTCTGGATAACTGGTAAAAATATTGTATATTTTTTGTACATTCATACGTAATAGAAAATAGGCAGACCAATACAAACAGTCATACACAGGAATATGTAAGTTTGATCGTGTATGTTTATATCGAATCGGCGCCTATCAGATATAAGGCGAAGTACTAAACTGCTAAACTAAGGAGCCCGCCTAATTATAGAGATTTGCCATTTGGAAATCTGTTAATTAAGACATTTTTATAAATGTAACGGTAATTAAAAAGTTTGGAGTATTCAATTTGCAATTTGAGCAATAAAATACATGTAGGAATTACACTTTCGGAACAAGTAACTTTAGCAGCCAATAAAACAGTTGGAGACAATAATGCAACTTTATAGTTGCCAATATGGCGACCGTGACATACGATAAACACGTACAATAAAACTACACCTTAAAAGGATATAGCATCTAAAGCGACTCAACAACGCAACAATTCCGCTTCCAAAACGCCTACTCGACTCGCACTTCTGTTGCGGATCCTAATTCTAATACGACCCGAGACCCCTCTGGGGTGAAGGGGGAAACATTACTTATGTGCGTAGTACATAGCTGTACGGTGTATGGGGGACGGCACGTATAGCCCGCAATTCCCCCAAGCGGGCAGATCGTAAACCTCCGATACCGCGAATTGAATTCTCTACGCGCTTTCAAATATTACTAAACTCTGTATTTACCACGCTGATTTCTTCAATCATTCCAAATCTGTGTTTAATTAATTAAATATTATATCTACTTCATTTATTTGTCATTACTAGTATGTTTTTAATAATATTATAACTAGGTAGGTACGTGTTGTATGTCATGCAAAAAACCCATAAAACCATTACGTATTCAATGATATTTTCATGGTTTTTTTTTGCAGTGACTAATGAAAAACTGTAATTTTTTTCTTTGTTATTCATTTTTGCGATACAATGAATTGATGTGAACAGTGTTTTACTGTTAGTTTACATGACAAGTATTGTAATGTTAATAAAAAACATAAAATGGAATAGTTTAATTAAGATATATTCGATCGGTTTATAATTATAGAAACAACTATAGTGGTTAAGTCGCGGCAGGAAACGTCACTGTAAATTAATCCAACCATTTGTTGGCAGTAGAAGAAAGTACAATTCTAAACCCGACCATCGGCATTACGTTTAGTCCCTAAATTAACAAAGATACAAAGCGTTTCCGCCATGAACGTATTAACATTCTCTAAACCAAGTGCATGTGTTCTCACAGGGCGGGCGCGACGACTAAGTGGACCGTCTAAATTAATTAGAAAGCTTAAAGCAAAACCACCCCTCGCAGCGGATTCAGCGCTGTAAACCAACAATGCGTTGTTAACTTAATAAAACACTTCAGCGTTAAAGCGCAGAGTTTTTCTTAACCCTCGCCGCTGTCATCACTAACCGCTGTAGATTTCTGAAGAGCTTAGTCGTGTTTAAACTAATGTGGTAGCTATGGTTTCAGGGGCTTTGGATTGACGCGTCTCCAACTTTACAATGTAATACTTATGGAGCCGTACTTTTTATTTGGTAAAAAAGATTTTGCGATGTTTAAGTGGGAGTTTTAGGGTTATTGTAAGTGGCGATGATTTGGTCTGTAGTGGACGCAAGTGGTCCGTCCGCAGTACTGTGGCTACATGAGCCGACGGCTGGCCAGCGACTAGCAATACCGGTGTCCGGCGGGCAAGATGGCGTCGCGATCGATTGGTGTCGAGCACGCCCACGTTGCCCACGCCTGCGCTGCACCGCCCTGCAACTGCAACAAGATGCAACGGACCGCCCTCTAGCGAGACAACCAGTCTTCATTGAAGGACAAGATGCTCTTGACTTAGAAATTATATTAAAAATAAAATAGCACATCGTGCGGATATAAAAATAGCAAACGATTCTTTATCAAATAAAACATATATGTACTTCGTTTTATTTATTATGATAGGTATATAATAAAAAAACAAGGAAAGAAGTAAACAACAATATAGTACGTATCTACAATCAAAAATAATAAAAAGGATAACATGCAAGTGATATTGACAGAATGTAATAAAACTACAAATGCTGTCACTTTCGCAAATCACGTTTCCTTTTTGAGAAACACGCTTGTGGAAACATCCCATAAGTATTTTTCTATACTAAACCCTAAACGGCGCACGCAAGGATACAATTTGCCCGAACATACCCGGTAGCGGCGTCATTTTTTAACTATTTTCACGCGCGAAACCTATTTATTGGGCCCCTTAGACCGCGCCTTTGTCATGTCGGCGAGAAAATCGAAGTCAGGTATACTGCAAAGGGGAACGAACATTTCGCCACAATTACGCTTAGAATACGGATGCAAATGGGACTGTAGCCCTAAAAAGTATATCGAATGTCGCTCTGGAGCCGCGATAGCTTTATTTTTGCTGCCGTTACGAGAAATCTATTGCCTCAAATAAAACGCCTATCTGTTACAAATTTAAAAGCCACTTTATTGCTAACTGTAAACGATACGCGCCGAATGTTACTAGTCTGGGAATATGATATTTATAAGAAAAAAATATATTTATTTGTATGCGTTCTACTACAGAAATTCTGTATTTTTACATTTCCATCCTTTATATGTTATTGAGGATCTTCGCTAGAAACGTGGTTTAGTTCTATATGATAAATGTGCACGATAGTTATAACTTGCGAATGTACAAAATTTAAGGCCAGAAGCGTTATGATTTTCCCATTAGGTATATGTAAGTATAAACATGTTTGTCAACAGATATGGCGCTGGGTACGATTTAGCCGCCCGACGGAAAAACGCTACGCGAGAGTCCACGGCAACACTGAAGGCATGGCTCAACGAGCACAAGAAGAACCCCTACCCGACGAAGGGGGAGAAGATAATGTTGGCGATCATCACTAAAATGACGCTGACTCAAGTGTCCACGTGGTTCGCGAACGCACGGCGCCGGCTCAAAAAAGAAAACAAGATGACCTGGGAACCGAAGAATAAAACTGATGATGATGACGACACGATGCTTTCCGATGAAGAAAAAGAAAAAGATGAACAAGACGAGAAAATTAAAACACACAAAGGTTCGTTGAGCTCATTTCAATATATTAAGCCTGTTTAGATTTAGTCGAACTGTAAATCAAACTTTATAGTACTTAGTAATACTAGTTGTACATCACGTGAATTTAAATAAATTCTTGTATGTTACAATATTTCGAATAGAACTAAACGAGGCTTTATGCAACATTGGATGGCCAACTACTTATACGAGTAATTAATTGGCCGTCAAATGTTGTACTTTCTGAATCCTAACATACTATTTCTGTGCTTCAAACACTTTCCCCCTGAACATAATTGTATAAGCTACGCGAAATGTGTACGTTTTTAAATAACAATGTGTTAGTCCTAATTAAACTGTTGCTATAGCGAAAGGTCATGAATATTATACGGTTTCTCTATTTTATTAGTGTGAGCGGTTTGTATTATTTTCATGTTCGTTTTGAGGTGATGTTGTTGAACGTTTAAAATTGCTTTAATTTTGTCGGTGTATAAATCGTCGAGTGAATTGGCATAACGCGGTTGAGGGCCGTAGGGTGTGCGAGATTCGTAGAGGAGGCAAGAGGAGGCCGGCGGAGGCGTGGGACAGAGGGGGGAGTGGGTCTCAGGCGTGTAACTGTGCGTAGCCGCTTCTCGCTCCCGGATTTCCTATTCGTAGTAGTGGGCGGCGCCCGGGCCCAAATTTCATATAACGCTTTTTCCGTTCGTTGGTACAACGGGGCGACGCTCGGAGGTCGCGTTCGGCTTGTCAGACGATCTGCCCTACTTCATGTTCTTGCCAAAGGATTTGTCGAGTTCGTGGATCGTTTCTTTTATGAGGATATTCCGTCTGAACGTAAGTAAGTACGGTTTTGGGGATTTATAATGTGTTCCAATTGAATGTGGGACCTTTTTCGTTGCGGTCTTTGTCGTCACCGTACGAGTGTTACGGTGCTCTTTCGGATGTGTTTTCGTAAGTTCGATGAATACATTCACAAGTACCCGAGCACTTACAATAATAAAATGCAGATACGGAGCGTGCGATTCGCAATAACATCGAGGGAGACTATTTAGTTTCGCTTGTCAACACCATAAATTATAAGTAGACATTGTTACAATAAAGATGGTTTCAAATACGAGTGTTTTCATTGCAAACTTCACGGCGCTAATGGAAGTGTAGCTAGGGGCGTCATAGCTAACGCCCGGCATACGTCGACTAATGAAGCTCGCTATTGTTGGGATAGAAGTATACTTAATTCGTGGTTTGAATGCCGTCTCGGTTGCCGGCAACAGCGGCACTTGGGGTCATAAACTGCCGATAATAAAGTGTCGAGATGTATGGGAGTGTACATGGGGCTTGGAGTGAATGACATGAACGTAGCATGACTGGAAATGACTAAATGATTGTGATAACTATATAAATAATATTAACATTAATTCATAAATTAGACATTCCAACAACAATAGGAACAAGCAACAATGTATGAAAAATATAAAGACGTGAAGTTGCAAAAAGTGAGACGATGTATGTAGAGTCACTAGCTGTCCCGGCAAACGTTGTTTTGCCATATAAATTAATAAAAAAATAGGGGTTGATGATAGAAGGGTGAAAATTTAGGATTGTATGTATTTTTGTATGTTGTATCACAAAAAATTAGAAACTTAAATTTTGTATAAAAAATAAAAAATAAAATTTTGGGGTGGACTAGCCCTAACATTTAGGGGGATGAAAAATAGCTGTTGGCCGATTCTCAGACCTACTCAATACGCTCACAAAATTTCATGAGAATCGGCCAAGCCGTTTCGAAGGAGTATGGGAACGAAAACTGTGACACGAGAATTTTATATATAAGATAAAGGAATACAATATATTGAAGAATTAACAGTAAAATACTGTTTTTTTAATAGAGAATATATAACGTAACAATGATTACTTGATGTACCAATCTATACATATAAATAAAAGTGGAATATCTGTTTGTTATATTGAAATAAACGTTTTTTACTACATGCATATGAATATAAATACGGTACAAACACCAAAATAACATTTTTTACAATTTTTGTCTGTCTGTCTATTTGTTCCGGCTAATCTCTGAAATGGCTGGACCGATTTTGACGGGACTTTTTTTTTACAGGTAGCTGATGTAATAAGGAGTAACTTAGGTTACTTTTATTTTAGAAAAATAAAGTTAAATTCCACGAAGACGACATCGCGTGTACAGCTAGTGCATAATGTATTTTACACATATACATAGCTAGTTTAAAAGGCGTATTTTTTTTAAATCTAATTTAAAGTTGTGGTATTTAACATTTCTATCACTGTACTTATTTAATTTTGACATTTCTTCTATTAACCTTGTTTATTTTGTAGTAAACAAGTAAAAATAAAAACATGTTATTATGCACATTATACGGGGTTCTAACAACATTTATAATACTTATTAGACAAGAAGTACAGTAGAAAACAACCAAAAAAATAAAAAGTTTCCATAAAAAAAAATCGTTCTTTTCAAATAAATGTTGTACATGTTTACAATAATACACAGTCAGTAAATTCAAATTTGGGAGGATAGAGTGAAATATATTATTATTACAAAACTACTACAACTGAACTCTGTCTGTCTGTCTGTCTCGCTTTCACGCAAAACCAAAAATAACATCTATTTCTACGTGAAGTAGGTACTTGTATTGGTTAAATTCGAAAGTTACATTTGTGATCAATATGAGATAACGATCACTTGTTTTTGGTTTTTTTATAGTAACTAAAGAGGCACAAAATCATTAGTTTTAATATGTACTCTAACGAAAGAGGAATAACGTTTATTTTACAATACTAATGACATACAACTGACATATGAACCTAAATCTACGAGTATATAAAATAACAGGTGAGTAATTAGTAATATTTTTTAAAGGCCTATCTATTTGGAATATTTAATGAGCATACCTTCTTATTATTATTTATTATTACCTCAAATTTGTATTGAGAATAAATTCATATAAATAACTAAAAATCAAAATTTTATATTTAAGTTAATAATTCTTTCTTTCCTTAACACTTACTGATCCGACAGCGCTACTCGCGTAGAATACACCTCTGACTCTTTTGAGTAAGATTTTAAAATATTACATATTTTAAAATAAAATAATTTTTTTTTACTATTTTACAGAAGATTTTTAAAATATTTTATTTAATTTTTCATGTTTATCAAATTTCAAAATTCAAATCATTTAACTGTGTGTAGTGTAGTTAATAATAAACTCTAGAGTTCTTCCAATTTTTCTAGATCTGGACATTTCATCATCCCTCACAGTGGCTACAAAAAAGTCGCGCATTTCCCCTCAACGAGGATTACAGACTCGCGCCCCTACGTCCCTACTTCCGAGTGACACCACTGTCGGAGTTCCGCAGATCTGATTGTTATGATCCTATTGTTATTGCACAAAATGCAATATTCTATTAAGAATTGTAATAACATATATAAATATTAATGCATTAACAAAGGCAATATGAGTCCGAAAAAGAATATATAAATATTAATACATCATATTATAAAATAGCTATACATATAAAATAGCATATAAATATATACATTAAGAAAAGAATGAGTCTTTCCTTTCCGAAAAAAAATGGTTGTCGTGAACATACTATATGTTATTAATATTATAAAGGGAAATTTTGTGAGTTATCATGGATGGATGTTTGTTACTCTTTCACGCAGAAACTACTGTACGAATTACGATGAAACTTTACAGTACATCAGAATAACACATAGACTATGATTAAAAAGATAAACATAATAGCTTTAAATCAATCGTAGTGATTAGAGCAGGCCTCGTTCACGAGTATGACGTATGATTTTTACACAATTCAAATGTGCCTACTAACATTTTGCATCATGTGGGCCATCAGCTGTGTCTACATGAACATTATTGATACGTGGAACGTACGAGCAATAATACGAGTATGTAAACACTTTCGAACCTTGTCGCAGTAATAATTTATTGGTTTTATGCAAAATTGTTTGAATATCTCAATAATGTCACTATGATAAGGTACTAAAGTGTTTACGAACGTAAATTGTATAATGTCATAAATAAAATAGACTATATATTAAAAATTATTAAATAATAATTAAAAACGTTAAAAATATATTATATGAATAATATATTTACTTTTTATGTAATAATTAAAAAACATAAAGGCATTTTATAGAGGTTGTAAGGAATCTGAATTTATAAGAATAATATATTGAAGAACAATATCATTACGAAAACAATAAGAATTATATTATACATTTGTAAAAGTTTAATTAAAAAAGTCCCAAACCAAGTTCTACCATTGAAGTTATATGCTACAACATAGGCAAATCACTATTAAAACACTAGTCTTTTATTTTACGATCAAATCTCCTTCTTGCATTAAAACTTTTTGTAAATCTGATTCAACAACCCTTTACCGTTTTTCAATATAATTTGTAGTAAACCAAATTGAAATTTAATGAGAATCAAATAAAATTCATATTTCTTTTTGCATTAATTTTATATATTTATTTGTTTTTATTAAACCAAATGGAAGTTTAAAGAGAATCAAATAAAATCCATATTTGTTTCGCATGAATTTTATATATTTGTTTGTTTTTATTAAACTAATTCGAAATTTATACATACATACAAACAATTATGGTCTTTAATTGATTCTCATTGAATCAATTAAAGACCATAATTGTTTGTATGTCTTTATTTATATTTATAACTCTAGTAATGCGGGACATAAATTGATACGTAAATAGATGTATTTGCGAAATCTACATATTAAGTATATACAACGCAACTGCATTTGTTTCGCGTCTTAATTTTTGTGTTTCTTAATTAATATACGTGTGAAGAATGAAAAAAAAATTATAGGTAAATGATCTATGTTGGAAGATAAGTATATTTGTATTCGTGAAACTTATAATGTTACGTTTTAACAAACTTACCAGAATATGTCAAGTTTTTATAAAAGTATCCAGGAATTATGTAAAGTATTAAAAAAATATATGTATTTAATTTTTTATTTATGTTATATAAATACTATACAAAAGAGCATTTCCAGTAGTAAATATGTAATTTACTAAAAAAAATAAGTCAAGTAATTGTAGTTAAAATGCCAGGCATGTACCAGGTTATTATATAATTGTGTGAATATAATGTTGTATACCCGCTTGTAACGTAGGTCTGACGTGACTACAAACTTCGCGTGCGTTTACTATCGACCGACGCTGTAATATCCGAATTGTTTATATGCATTTTTGTTGTAGAGCGGATTAAGTGAATTAGCAACGAAACATAATAACTAGAGTGATAGTCCAACAATAAGTTATTACGGGAAACACGCACATCACAGTATTAACTACGTTTCGGCTAGCGAAACCCAAACTGCAGACCTGAACAAATAAACCATAACATTCACTCGACATGCATAACCATTCTTTTACTAAACCGTCAATGTTCACGACGTGTAATATATCATTTTAAGTCACGCCAAACAAAGCCAATATAAAAGCTTTCACACGCGATCCCTAGGACGTCGTCGACAAACAAACACACAGAACTATCCCGCGCTAAGCCACTCATGAATAAAAGCTTCATTTTGTGACCCCCACCAATAAATGTTAATTTTTGTCGTGAGCACACGCATCCCAAATAAAATATTAAGCCGGGCCGGCGTTAATAGCTAACGAGTACGGCTAATACAAACAAGTGAACATCGGGGCGGACGCCAAAGAGTAATAAATTGCAGCGTCCTCTGTTGCAAAGTGCACTGCGCTGCACCGGAGTGCTCGAGGGGCTTGAGGCGCGGGGGAGGGTCCTGCGGAGCGCCCTGTGAGGCCGGAGACGCATTTTTATTATGTCACTTCGCCCCTGGCTTCGGGTAAAGGGGAAGACCACTTGACGTGTCAAACGAAGTGCGCTTCATGCGTGAGATCCCAGCCCGCTCCAAATCCTATCCACGTGTCGCTTCTAGAGGCGCTTAACTGCACGTTCAGTAATCTAGAGTATAGCTTTACGTATTCTGCCATTTGATAAATATTTATAAACGATTTAGTGAAATAGCCGCATCAGTTTAATTGGATATAACCCTTTATATTTAGAATGAAATCGTTTTGTTTATACGTGACTGCAGTAGAAGGTTTAGGTTTATTTAAAGAAGATAAAGGATTGAACGTCTCTTGATTCATAGCTATCAATTCGGACAATTTTATATAAGAAAAAAACAATTCTATTTATGTATATTTGTTTAATTAAAAAGTTTAGTTAATTGATATGTTATAAATGTATGTTTAACTGAATCCACAACAGACAACAAACCAACATAAATCCGCGTAAGTTTAAGTATCACATTTTATATTCAATAAACTGCTCCCTAACAATTTGTAAAGAAATTAGCTTAACGAATACATTAAACATATTGCTAAAATAAAACATTATGAAATCGTGCAATTCTCGCTTATCTCCCGTCGTTGTGGGCCTTTATTAGATTAATACAATGAAAATTAAAACAATTTGCCGGATAAATATCTTCGCGCGGAGTATCATTGGCGTCCCTATTTATCCCTAGTGAAGGGCAACGCGGATAACCCCTCTTAAAAGCTAGGAGCAGTCAGCATTAGATGGAATAAAGAGAATGAAGTCGAGCGGTCGCGCCACCCTCCCTCGCCCCGTCGCACCCCGCAGGCCTCTGAATTTCATTAGTCGCCTCAACCCGCCCCGCTCCCTCCGAAAGCCACTTTACAACGGAAAATGGCATTATGATAATACTTAGGGCCTTATAAAATTTTGCTGAATAAACATTTTTGTGTAATTGTACAATAACACCATTTTTTTGTAGCGAGAACGCTGCTCGGATTAATTTCATTGCAGCTTTAAAATAATCGAGCGACCGAGTCAAGATTTTATCGCGGAGATTGCCGAGGATAATATTGATGATTAAAAAAAAAAGATAAAGTACGACTTGTTATAAAAACGAACGTTAGGCGGAAAGAATAAAAGGGATGTGTATAGCGGTCAAAATAGAAGAAAGGACGGGAATCGAGGTTGACCATTAATTGTGTCGCGGGCACATTCCACGAGGAGTGCGGTGCCGCGGGGTGCGCCGGGAAATGCGAAATAAATGCCCGGCTTAAATACGAAAGGGATCGGCGAGTGAGCCCGCGGCGGGGGACTCGCGCCCCAAAGTGGTATTTTCACTTCGCTAATCGGATAACCACTTAACGAATGGGTCACTGCACGCCAAACGTATTTTCACACGACTTTTCCGAAGGGAGCCGACGATTCCACTTCTTAGTACCTAAAACTTACGTCCCAGTTGTAACGGTCACGTTCACAATTCAATACGGCTCGTATCGATTTTTTAAGCTCTGTTTTATTGGTGTAGCATTAGTTACGGCTTCGGCTATTGCGACTAATCTGATTGCAATGACGTATGCTCCCACGTTTATTGCTGATCGGACATAAAATATGATCGATGAATACGATTATCTTTACAGATGAGGAGCGGAAAAGCGATGAGCTGCTGCAGGGGATGCATCACCAGTTGCTGGGTTACGGGATAAAAGAAGAATCAAAGCGAGGGACTTCAGACTGCGGTGTGCCCATTCCGGCATCTAAACCGAAGATATGGTCATTAGCTGATACAGCAGCATGCAAGACGCCGCCACCGGCTGCACAGCCCTGGCCACAGCACTCCTATGGACCAGACCGCTCAGCAGCTGCCGACAGTAGCTCTAACGGATTCGCGTTGCCGGCGACAGCAGCAGCGAGCCCTGCTAGCGGCTCATATGGCCGTTATGGTGGCTTTCCGGCGGGGCAATATAGTGGCCAGCATCCCTGCGTGCATCCTGCCGCATTCCCCGACGTGCAAACTGACACACCCCCGCAGACTCCACCCAACATGAAGGTGCCGAGTGTCGCAAATCCACTTGGCAGCGGCGGTGGATCTGGCTACTGCTTTCCTCGGCATCAGCAATCGCCGCAGCGTGATCCCTACCACAATCCTCACCATGCCGCTAACAGCCACCAGCCCAACCAACCACATCACAACGAGGGATCTGCCGCCTTCAAGCCCTTCTATAAGAGGTTAATATACTTACATTAATATTCAACCGTTAGGCAATTAGGATCATAAATCGTAATCAAAAAGATCATTCGATTACTTAGGCTAATAGGTGGTAGGTGGACTAAGTTCACGATCTCCTACACCACGTGAAAAGAGAATATTTCCTATTCCAGCTCGCTCCAACATCCCAACGGTTTCGTGTCGGCCGTCTGAAAGCGGACCGCGCACCACTAGCGGTGAGTTTCCGATTGATTCAAATATAGGTGCTCGAGCTAGATCCTACTAATATACTGTGTCTATGTAAATAAATGGATGATTATACTAAAGATGCAGAGAGATCCTTAAAGAGATTTGCGGTTTAGTAGCGAAGAGTCGAGGCAGGGCGTCATGTCCGTAATTGAAAACAATGGAGTTTAGTCGCGGAAGGGCGTCGCGCGACGCGAGGGCGAGATTGCAATCTCACATCATTTGTCAGTGTCAACGGGACGCGCACTGCACGCCTACGTACGCGTCGGTGACCTGTCCAAATTAGCTTCTCCGGCTGTACGAGCGCGTAACATAGATATTTTATCGCTGAAATAAGCCATTATCTCTAAACTATTTTTAGCTTCTAGACTATTAACACCTTTCATCGCGTTGATGATGATAATATGGACTAAATAAATAATAATACCAACAATAACTACGACAGTTTTAAATTTTTTATAATTGTAACATCAATGTGAATACACAATAAACCTGTTTGAAATTTTTATAAATAATTCATCAGCATACTTTAAAGTATTCAATAATAATTTAGTATACAAAATATATTTATTAGGTGATGCCTATCGTAGTAATTTTATCCATGTCGTAACATCACTGTGACGTAATCCATCTTGCTGATAATAAATATCCAATAACATTCCCAAATAGTGTAGAAAATTTGAATTCAAATGAAATGACGTCGAACCTAAGAAATGTCGCTATAACTCGATGTAATGAGCAGACGTTTATTGCATTTATACCGTCTACTAGAATGATTAATTTTACAAACGACATACTAATAGATAATGAAGTATTATTATCGTTAAATATCGCTACTTTTAGGCATAACGTAAAGACGAAACAATTTGATGAAAAAACTGCAAATGCAAATAATAACTGGTTTAAAGCCATTTGTAAATAACATGAGACATTATATTATTCACAAATTAATAAAACTAATTAGTTAAACACAAAATTAGTGAAAGTGAGAACAAATTGGATTATAATCGCGACTCTAACAATACCGTGTGAAGATGAAATCTAAATAGTTCCCCGATGGTGTCTCTTGTCACATTTTTCTTAGAGTCTATAAACTTTTTCTGAGAAATGGAGACTGCGGCAGCGGTATCCGCGTCTCATTACAATAAATCGCTATCATCGACGCCGCCGCACAGAGCGGCATCGCCAAGAATTTTGTTTTAGCCAAACGCTCACAAATTCACTTCTAGAACGTTTTGTATTATTTTCGTTTTCACGCCTTTTTGTCCCTCGGATTCCATGACGCGAAAATAACTCCTTATCGCGGCATTCCTCTAAAGTAGCCCCAAAAAGAGCACGGCGTATTGGCAGTTTTTTGTTTTCAACTTAAATAACATACCTACCAGTGTCGTTTTAACTTATTATTTTGCCAAATGATATCGCGAATTGATCCTGTTATACACTCAACTAAAGAGGATCAAATTTAGCGAGCTGACATATTATTGCTTCCATTTTCGAAGATTGAAAAACAATAATGATCAATACCGGATGGATAAAAGTCAGATCTAATACGCCTAGTTGTAATCCTATTGAGGGTGGTCAATTTAAATAATACAAAGCGGGAATTGTCCCTAAGCCCGAAAATGAATGAACAATGAGTATAGTGGTGGCCGCGCCGCTGTCGGGCACGGCAGCCGGGTTGGTCTCCGAAGGCGATAACGCGAGCAACGGACACCACAAGCGTGCGTGGGCGTGGAATCTCAATGGATCCTCTTCATTCACAACACTACCTCTGCATTAAGGCAGCTTTTTTTTAACGCTCTAATCTCTTATCTTTCGATCCTCGCTCGGGTCCTTCTTTGTTTCATTCAGTCGCAGGTCGCTCGGATAACCTGTTTGACTTCTTTTTTCATTGATGCTGTACAAACTTGAGATGACCGCGGCCGAGGTCGAATTTTTATTTCTTTCACATTTCGGTTTTCCGGTCCCAACGATTCGTTAATAAATTCTCAGATAATGAGACTGAACGTTTCGTCACCTCATCTCGATTGGTTATTCTTTTTTACTTTTTGGTTGATATGTGTGAACACTGCGGCGGGCTCGCTGCCCTGACGCCGCGATAGAATCGGAACAACTATCCGAACGGACCTTTTTTTTCATTAATTTAAATACCGCTACTCTTTTTAGACTAAAACTTTATCATTGTAAGGTTCTATTTAAATGTTTAAGTATTCCTATAAAATCTTGTGTGTATCGAGATTAGATGTAAGTATTATTAATAGCTGTGCTAAAACGATGTTTACTTGTTGCAGGTAAAGCACGTGAAACCTGGGTCGCTGCACCATGCATCAACCACTAGGGACTAACAAATTTTCACAGTGGCACAGTGTTTCAGTTCTATTATAAGATTTATGATGCAAACAATTTGTAGGGACATAAAACTATGGCTACGAAATATGCGACTACATTTTGTAGACTCTGTAATGTTATATTAATTTTGGTGCATACGTTTTTTGTATATGGCCTAGTGTAATTTTTAAACTACTAAACTAAAGTGCACCGATCATTATAATGTAAAAAGAATTTTATGATGTACTTAATATTCGGTTCTGATGTGATTACGGTCGACGGTTGTCCTTAATTAGTGAAATAATATGAAACGAATCATTGTACGGAATCAACGTTGCTCAGTATTTTTATAGATTTAAGTATAATATGGAAATATTATCCAAATTATTTATAGAGATACACAAAAGGCGCAATTACGTGTAAAGTATACCACGAGTTGGTTTTAGTAAAATTGTACATTATCTTTGGACTCCAGCAGGAATAATTGTAAGATAAGGGTCTCGTATGCTGATTTGCTATTAAGTTCTTCCAACGTTTGATTGTAGTGTTTTCTTGGAGCAATAAGTTATTCATTAGTTGCGGTGCCAGACTTTACTTTCGTTAGTTGTAAGTGATTGTTAATTCAGTGAAGTGGTAATGGGAACTTTAGTTTCGCGTTGTTTGCGTCGCAATCTGTTTCATTTTGTTACTGTACGGATCGATTCACAATCGTCGATTCGATTATTGTTATTGTCATTGTATATAGAATGTTTTGTAGATTTTCTATTTTTAGTTTCTTAACAAGTGTACAAAGTAATTAATATGGTTTCGTCACGCGGCGCCTCACATAATTGCGTCAATATGAATTTTATAAATATTGTTTAAAAGTATTATTAGAATACATTGTAAATAAATATATTCTGAATATTTTATGTTTAAAGTGATCGCGGTCACTCAACGACAGGATCCGGGATTTTATATATATAGAATACGATTTGTTTAATGTTGGATATAGTCATGTGAAGTATGTGCTAGGTAACAAAGTATTCAATAAACAATGAAGGGCGTACGAAAATTTTCGCGGGTAGTAATGTTTTGAGGCCATATTTTTAACTGGTTTTAAAAATTAAGCAAAGCTTATACGAATTGAAGGTTTTTCTTTTATAAATGTTGTATTAGATAAACCACGATCACCGATTTAGATCTGCCAGAGGAGCTGATGTTTCAGATTGACGTTAGGGTATACCTTAATTAAACATCGTCCGTAAATGCAATAGATTTTTGTTTTATATACCTTAGTCTGTATGTATTTATAGGTCACAACTTAGATTACACGTGGGTCAACAATTTTGAGGCTTATTACAATCAATCGAAGTATAATGCAACGTAATAATTGTGAGACAAAACATTTCAATGTGACCAAATCGAATACATTCGCTTAATATTAAATGTTCTATATAGATATTTATAGAATATATACCTATTATTATTATGAGTAAAATTATGTAACAATTGTAATTAAATCTTTATTTCAATGGAGTAAATTTCATTTTACATTTACCTTCCCTTTACATCACTTTGTTTATAAATAAGTGAACTATTACTTGAATGACGATAGTGCATGGCAATAGTTGTTCATGCACGGGATATTCATTTAATGTTAGACGTAGACACCTATGTAAATATACATTGTAAATGAACTGGCTTTAAAAAATATATTCAATTGAGTTCTTGCCAGTTCTTCTCAATTGGATCTATATACTGAACTGGACGGTAGAGAAAAATATATACCTACATGAATTATGATTTTTGAATTTGAATTTGAATTTGGAATTATTCTGTAAATAGTAAATACTATATAGACCTATATATGAGACCTAATTGTATGAATCATTAAATTCAACGAATCACATATAATAACACATACTCTATCATCTGACGTTGCAATTGAAAACTTATTACGTGCACATAAAGAAACTATTTGCTTACAATAATATAATATCTCCACAGCGCCAACTAAACCTAATCTAAGCAGAACTTGTGTTATGGGTACTAAACAACTGATTGATAATTTTTTTTGTAAATACATACAAAATATACACAGAAACTATCCAGATATCAAAAATCTTACTAATGAATAAAGAGTAATAGAAAACTTATAAGAAACATAGATACATTTTTTTTATAAATACAAACAAAATATACACAGAAAACATCCAGATATAAACAATCATAGTGATGAATAAAGATATTTGTAGCGTGTAAGAAATCGAACTCGTGACACATCGACAGTAAAGCGGTGTGCTAAACCGTTAAACCATCGAGGCTGTCCTACAGTACAGATATTCTTCATATTTAAAACTGCAGTTTCTCCTAATCTCTCTAAATGTTAGATTAAACCATTTTAACGATTTAAATAAGTAAATCAGGTTAACCTAATAGCGTTTCTGTCTTGAGAACGGGGGTACAAAGAGAGTAATGTCGATAATGAACCGGTAAAATTCGTAGGTAAGAGGGGTTCCTCCCTTACCTTTTGCCTCTTAAACAATGCTTAAAGGGTAATAAAAGAACTGTTTTTTTTTTCTACTTTGGAGTGCTAACGGAATTATAGTCTTCGTTTACCAAGTTCCCAAAGTTTATGTGCCTAATTAAATTGCATTTTCTTATCGCCCTCGATGGTTGGTAGGTACCTACCTGATACTTTTTGTATCCGTTTGTTTTTGAGATCATCAACAGCACGGATGAATATTTCTTTTTCTTTGTTCTGGCAACAAGGTTGGTAGTACTGTCAGTCACATTTATGTCAAATTTCATGTCAAAATATTCATTAGTGTTTGAGATACGTGTCGTTTTGTGAGCTGCTAAAAGTGAGTTTTTCGTTTTTTGCGATGTCGAAATTTGTTGAGCAAAGAATTTGCATTAAATTTTGTTTACGGAATCAATTTTCTGCTGCGGATACGTTGAGGATGGTGCAGAAAGCCTTTGGTGATGAGGCTATGTCTAAAAAAAATGTTTACAAGTGGTATAGTGAGTTCCAAGCCGGCCGTGAACGTGTCGAAGACGAAGAGCGTCCAGGGCGACCATCAACCTCAACCGACGAAGCTCACGTTCAACAAATCAAAGATTTGGTGTTGAAAAACCGTCGATTAACAATTAGAGACCTTGCTGATGAAGTTGGCATATCGAAAGGCTCAGCCAATACCATTTTGAAGGATGTTTTGGGCCTCAAGCGCGTCAAATCTCGACTGGTACCGAAAACATTGAATTTTTTGGAAAAAAGGCGTCGCGTTGAAGTGTGTGAAACGATGCTTTCCGACTACCAGGGTGTCATGAAACGCATTATAACTGGCGATGAGACTTGGATCTATGCTTACGACCCCGAAACAACCGATCAATCGAGCGAATATCGTGCCAAAAGAGAGCCGAGACCAAAAAAATCGCGCCAAAGTCGCTCAAAAATCAAGGTCATGTTGACTGTTTTCTTCGATTATCGTGGTGTTGTGCATTATGAATTCCTTCCAACCGGTCAAACAGTCAACAAGGAATATTATTTGAACGTCATGCGTCGATTGCGTAACGCTATCCGCCTAAAAAGGCCGGAATTGTGGAAAGACAATTCTTGGTTTTTACACCACGATAATGCACCATCCCATACTGCACTCATAATTCGTGATCATTTCGCCAAAAACTCAACCCATATTGTTCCTCAACCACCTTATTCACCTGATCTGGCGCCGTGCGACTTCTGGCTATTCAGCAAGCTCAAAAGACCGCTCCGGGGACACCGTTTTGATACAATAGAGGAGATTCAAGCCGCAGCGAAGACGGAACTGAAGGCCATCCCGGAAAGTGACTACAACCAGTGTTTCGAAGATTGGAAAATCCGTTGGCATAAGTGCATTGCATCGGGAGGGGGATTACTTTGAAGGGGATGAAATTGATTTGGCAGTCCACATTACTAACAAGTACTTAACTCTCCTGTCCCCTCCAAGTATTACGATTGTCTAAGTGTTCCAAATCTATACTAATATTAGAGAAGAAAGAGAGATAACAAATTTTGTTACAAGATAGTAAAACATGAAGCTATAGCACCGAAATGATCCGATTTAATTTGATTTGATTTGATTTGATACCGATTTAATGCCTTAAATTACTTACATTAGAAGAAGAATAGAGAAGAAGAAGTATAGGCTATATAATAATAATAATAATCTCAGGACAATTCACACAGCGCCATCTAGACCCAAGTTAAGCTAGCTAAAGCTTGTGGTATAGGTACTAGATAACTGATACATATATATAGATATTTTTTTTGTAAATACATACATATTATACATAGAAAACACCCAGACCGATACAAACAATCATACTCATGAATACACATGTTTGTGCCGTGCGAAGAATCGAACCCGCGACCATTGGTCGTAAACCGGTGTGCTAGACCGCTAGACCACCGAGGTCGTCTATATATATGTATCCTATACTTCTATAGCACCTTTTTTTTGTTTTATTTCGAGAAAATCCCTCAAAGACCTGCCTACCCCGAGGGAAGAAAGCGGGTACTCTGAGACTCCTACTCACTAAAAACTAAGAACTCCTATTGCCGGAGTATACTTCTATAGCACCTAGACTTCTCCTCCGAACCTCCGAAGATGCCATAGAATGCTAATGGTATCTCTATATTCAGGCAATGACGCTCGTAGGTACAGCGTGTGGTTTTTTAGTGATTAAGAATCCCACACACCCTCTCGTCACCCCTCTGATAGGGGAACGATCTTTTGAAGATTTATCCACGCCATAAAAAAGGAGACGTCGAAGACTAATGAGGAGTATAAACAAATAAGATTTGTAATTTGTTGACGTAACTAAGAACAAAAAAAGACTCATAATAAATACAAAATAATATTAAACATAAATTACAATAAACTTCAACATGAAATTCATTACTAATCATCTCATAATGATTTTTAAACTGATATATTTGATTAAGATTAAGAAATAAAAGAATATATATAATAGATAAGATAGTAAAAGAAATACTATTCATTACAATATTTCAAATAATTTATTAATATGCAAAACGATACATCTACATAATTAGAAATAGACTCATAATTTAGTAAATTATTGAACATAAAAAAATAATTTTAAGACTTGAGCGATATGATAGCACTGTTATTGAAGAAAGAAAACCAGAAATAATTATATGGATATTGGTCTCAAGATCTTCCAATGAAGAAAAAAACATATAAAAAAGTAAAGAGTATCAAAATAATATAGGAATTTATATCTGCGTACCTCTATCTTGCCAAGCCTCTTTTGTAAGCTGTGTTTCTATTGAAAGGTAAGAATAGAATAGAATAGAAAATGCTTTATTCAAATAAGCACTTTTGAATAGTCATTACTTATTTTTCTAAACTACCGCTCATTCGGAAAGCTGTTTCATCACAAGAAGAACGATCAAGTAACTTGTATGTTGTTTTCTCTATAAGATAATGCAAGAGGGATATAAAGACACATTTTTAAGATGAAATGTGTGAATACAAACTCCTAAGTAGTACTAATTTATTAGGGTCAAAATCTTAAAAACACAATAGCATTAAATTTATAATAGTGATTATAGTAGGGCAGTCCCCATAAGCAGCGATCACGAGTATGACGGATGAAACACCTATCACTAATCAGATAGTGGCAATAAAGTGCATTAATTTAGCGACAAGCAAAACGCAATGATTGCTTTAGTTAATCGAAAACGTTACTATAGCAATTGAATGTGCAATAAAACGAACAGAGATCATAAAACGGTCATAAACATTGACAGTACAAATAGTGACTAATAATATAATCCACTAGTCCAATTTGATCACGATGTGCTGGGTTGCCAACTTTTTTGACAAAAAAAAAATCGTATAAACTGGTTTGGATAAAAAAAAAAATATTTTTAAATTTTTTTTTTCTTTTCCTTTAGCATTAAAAATATATTTTGTATGCTTTTAACACTAGAGCTGTAACAAATGTCACAACTCGCAATTGACATCTAACATTTCGTTCAGTAATAAATCGTTAAGTACCCATAATGAGTATTTTATTTTACGCATCAAAGTAAAGCTTGAAAATAATGTGTTTTTGCATACTTTATGTAACAATATAAAGTATATTTACCGACAAAAATAAAGTAGGACACGTCGTTATAAATTACGGTTGGCAACCCTGGGCGTGTAGCCGAATTATTTTATAGGTGCCTTATACGAAAATCAGAGAGTATTGCTGATGATTGGTGCAATAAAACTGTTTGCTGAAGCCATAGCTTTTAATTAGCTTAACTTGTTTATGGGAAATTACATGGACGCTTAAGTGGTATCAACTCTCATTTTACACAGCTTTTATTTATGCCATTGGAATAGCAAACGAGCTGTAAACTCACCTGATGATAAGCGATAACAATCGTGTGTACGATTACACATGATAAGGTATTATGCACATCACGTTATCATTATGCGTTGCCTGTCCGGTGTAATAAATCTGGTT